AGCTGGCAAGCAATTAAGCTATCCGTGAATATCGTAATTTTATTTAGAGAGTTATTCTTTGCAATTTCTAGTGCTCTGTAAATAGCTACCATTTCACCAAAACATGATGATGTTTTACAGTTGGGCTTGAAGGAAAATTCTTTTCTATCAGTGTGACAAAAGATCCCGCAGCCAGTGACACTAGGGCCAACCGACGCATCCGTATAAAAAATAGTGAAATTTGCTTTCTCATAGTCATTCAAAGTGTTTGCTATTTCATCCCTGATCCTTCTGCCTTCACTTTGCAGTGTCGTGTTTTGTGGAGATTCTATATTCCCTTCAATATCATTGGATGGTGCTGGTTGATCGTCTTCATTATGCTCTATTTTGTAGTTTCTGCAGATGTTATGCAGCGCAGCGCAGACATTTACAATTTTCACTACTTTTTCTGGACGGTAGTGTAATGTACTTAATAAACAGCGAAATCTCCCTTTAAAAACTCCTATTGTTCGCTCCACAATATTTCGACCCGATGTATGGGCCAAATTAAATTTATATTCCTGGGAATTGTAGTGTGGATCTCTATAGGGTGTCAATAAAAAAGGTTCTATGCCATAACCACAATCTCCCAGTAACTTAGATGTCCGGTCCCCTGACTCATACATCTGAACGAAATAATTCCTGGCTCTGCTAATATTCCATACGAATGAGTCATGGCTAGAGCCGGGATACCGTGCATCTACTGCTCGAATTTTCATGTCACCATCACAAATCTAAACGTAAACACACAAATGAATGTTTATAAGTAAATCAGTTTCACGTGTACTTACAATCATGGCATTCAAACTGAAATATCTCTTTCGATTATAAAATAAATGTTCATCAGTACTCGGCTTGATGATTTTAATGTGTGTCCCGTCGATACAGCCAATTATCGAGGGAATTTTGCACTTCGTATAAAAATAGCCTCTCGATCTGCGTTTTTCGTTGAAGTCCATTTCTAGTTTTATCTACTCTGGACAAAGCAACTGATTCATAATCGTAAGCACATCACCCAAAATCGTTGACACCGTGCTCCTAGCTACACTAATGCTGGAATCGTTTCCAACTGATGTTTGATAAGATCCTTCAGCTAAAAATCGCAACGTAGCTGCTAGCTGCAGTACTGGTGGAACTTGAGATCGTGTCAAGTGTCCGCCAATAGTGTCAAGCACCATTTGGAAAGCCTCTTTATTTAGCCTATAACACGCTATGAACCTGCAAATATCTTATAAGTATTTACAAGCGCACCTTGCAATAAATCTACTTACGCTGTCTCCGGCAGCTCAAGCGGGTTGCTGCAATCCCTCAAAATTTTCCTTTTGACCTTCTCGCAACTTCCTTCTTCCATCAACATGAACGCTACAACTGCAGATGCCATTTTTTACTCATATACTTTTATTTTTATTCAATTTTTATAATTTATTGATGAAAACAATTGAATTTCACAAATTTTTGTCAAAAAAGCGAAAATAAAATTTGCGATCCACAACAAAACAGCTGTTCGAACATCGGCTTTGTTTATATTCGAAAAAAGCAAAACCGACACGGTTTCATGACACGTAGTGAAATCAATATCGGTTTGCAATTCCGATAAAATCCAAAACCGACGGGGATTCCATGACAGCCCTGATTATCTCTGCATAAATGGATCTTATACTTTCCAAGGCTAAATTTTCTTTTTTATCAGGTAGTGTCTTGGTGACTACATTAAGATTAGGAGATGAAATATCTTCATTAATAATATCTACACTGTCAAAGACTTGTCTAAACTCCCTGTAAACTAAGCTGTAGGTGGATTTAACATCGGGAAATTTATGTAACGATTCTTTCAGGACTCTGTTAGCTACTATATTGTTTATGAGTTCCTTCGCCGTTAACCATTTGGCTCTATCTTCAGGGGGAAGCTCATTGGCCAAAGCATAAATTAGATTTATGGGAGTGGCAGGTGTTAGCCCCAGGCACCTCCTCAAAAAGCTGTTCTGATACGTTCTGATTTTATTGTTCGTGGTGTTTGAACAGTAAGCCGTTGATGACCTGCAATACTCGATCTTAGTCCTAACAACTGCTTTATAATAGTTCAGTGCAACCTGTGGGCGCAGGCCTGCTTTCACTGTAGTTATCGATTTGAACAAGTTGGAGTTCGCTTCAGAAGCCTTTATGACTTCACCATAATGTTCACTTACAGCCAACGACGCACTTATGAATCTTCCCAAAAATTTAATAGATTTAACCTGCTCAATGCTTCTGCCCTGACATACTATCTGAAAAGTTGATCGGTTCCCCTTGCACAAATACATAAATTTCGTTTTTTCAGGATTGAATGCTAAGTTGATTTCACCGCACAAGCCCGAGAAGATATCCACCTTGCTTTGTAGGTTTTCAACCATTGTGTCCATATTTTTCGAGTAAGATACTAT